CAGGGAGCCCGATGCGGGACTTGATCCCAGGACCCTGGGATCATGACCTGAGCCGAAGGCAGACGCTTAACCATCTGAGCCACCCAGGCGCCCCAGAAGGAGAGAATCTTATGTAGACTCCATGCTGGGCCTGGAGCCCAATGTGGAGCTCGATCTCACAACCCTGAGATCAGAACCTGAGCTGAAATCAAGAGTTGGACACTTAACTAACTGAGCCACCCAGGCGCCCCTGGAAATTTTGAACTTTTATGGACATGGAAAGATGGCCATAGTATTACCATGTGAAAGGTCCGATTATAAAAATTATCCAAATTTTGCCAAAATTTAATTTATACCCAAACTTATATCCAAATGTCTCTATAGAGCAGAGTTCCTCAGCCCTTAGTGCTACTGGCATTTCAGGCCAGATAACTCTCTGTTGTGGGGCCGTCCTGTGCACTGGAGGATGTTTATCTGCATCCCTGGCTCCACCCACCGGGTGCCAGGAGCACCGCCCCCCGAGTTGTGCCCCTAGTTGTGGCATTCAAAAATCACCTAGGAGGAATAATCAAATGTCTAAATTCAGGTGGTCCCCGGGGCGCCTGGGTGGCTCAGTCGGTTAAGTGTCTGCCTTCAGCTCAGGTCATAATCTCAGGGTCCTGGTATCAAGTCCCGCATCGGGCTCCCTGCTCAGCAGGGAGCCTACTTCTCCTTCTCTCTCTGCCCTGCCCCCGCCCCCCGCTCCTGCTCTCTCTCTCAAATAAATAAATAAAACCTTTAAAAAAAAAACTCTTTTAATTTTCAGGTGGTCCCCACTTATAGATGCTTTTTGTTAAAAAAAAGTTTGGGGCACAAGTTACTTGCTTGAGATCCATTTCACATTTCTGCATCGTAATAAATGTACATAGGGGAGTTCCCAGGCTAGACCCACAAGGCTTTTGAGCTCAGCATGTGGCGGAAATAAAGGGCAGCCTGAACCCCACGTCTTGATCCCTGACTGAAAGACATCTGTGCTGAACCCTTGATCCCTGAATGAAAGACATCTGTGCTGAACCCAAGGTAAGGGTGGGGTGACGGACCATCAGTAACTCCCAGAAATCCCTTTAATGTCCCTGCTCATCTTTGATCTTCCTGGCACATAAGTGGTACATGGGAAATGTTAGTTCCTCTTACTTGGGTTGCATCAAACTAGGGAATCACATGTAAGTCGTATACATGATTTCACTTCTCTTTATGCAACCCTGAGGGGTACAGTATTGTTTCCATTTTATAGGAGAGAAAACCAAAACTCAGAGAAGCAAAGAACATGCTAGGCTCTGTTTGTCTCTCCCTCCCTCCCTCTCTCTGTCTCGCACACACACAGCTTGCCAAACTCTACAAAGCCATATTAGAAAACATATTTAAATTCATTCTTAATTTTCCATAATTGCTCTGGATATCAAAGAGGGTTTTGAAATTAATTATGTAACAAAATATAGCCCTTTGAACATGAAGTCCAGTTAAAATCCAGTGCTACTCTTATTTGAAGGCATGAAGCAGCCAGCTTTTATTGTTTTCTGTTTGATCTTAAAATGAAAAGGGAATCCCTAAAGAGTTTGTCCCATTAGCAGAGCGTTAAAGGTCGAGGAACATATCGATGACTTCTTTTTTACATTAAACGTTACTGGTCCAGACTGATTCCAGCTAGACCTGCATAAAACAAGGACGCACGTTTGGATAAAAAACAGTTCTTAACTGGTGCAGGTCCCACTGTTTCTAGTAGAGGGAAAGTGAAAAATTCAAAGTTGCAAGCTGTCCTCTAATGAGGACACACAGGTCCGCTCTTCCTTTCTCCAGAAAGTGTCTTGACACCATGCCGAAGCAGCCAGATTTCCTGGGATCTGGAAAGTGGAAATGCTGGCGCTGGAAGATCCCCAGTGGGAGCCGCAGCTGAAAGGGTCTCGAGAGAAATGACAGGCGCGAGTGGGGTCATGTGGGGCTATTGGTAAAAGGACACCAAGGCTGCGAGCAGATGGCAGCAGGGGAGTGGA